CCATGAGCAGGGGATTAGTTGGATGTAAGAGGTTTTCTTGCGGGATTGCTTGGGCTTCTTTCCCGAGGAAGTAGAAGTTGAAACTTTCAGGAAAAAACTACCTTACAAGCAGCCCAAAAGTTGAAAAGTTGGGCGTTGAGTCAGTAAGACTTAGGGTTTCTGCTAGGTCTTAGGGTTCAGGGAGCTTCAGGTCTCGACATGCCATGGCTCCAGAACACCCGGCCGAATCTACTATTTGCTTAAGAACCCCAAAAGAAAAAAACAATAATAATCCCTATATTGCCCTTATGAGGAAGAATGTTTTTTTTTTTTTGGGGGGGGGGAGGGTTCTTAAGCAAATTGTAGGAATTCGGCATGAAACTCAAAAGCAGCCTCGCTTGACACTAGACCCTGAACCCCACAGCTGTAAACAAGACGCAAGAGTAACCTAAGAAGAAACAGGGCACCCTTTCCGGTTTAAAGGGGCTTGTAAGGAAACCAGAACCCTAAAAAACGGCGAAGTAAGGGCCTAGCCTGGGTCCTAGTAAACCTAAGCTTAACATCCCTTCTGAGGGCGCGACCCACATCGACAACCTCGCAACGCTGTCCCCATACTTATAAGGGCTCGGGGGGGTAGCAAGTAGGGCTTAGCGCTTAGGGCTTTCGGGTTTAGGGTTTAGGGTTTAGGGTTTAAAGTTTAGGGTTTAGGGTTTAGGGCTTTCGGGCTGATAGGGTTTCAGGGTGTAGCTGATAAATCAGGTTCTAATGCCTGATGAGCCTTCAAACATATGGGGGTTTACGAAACAGGGGACCCCGAAAATCCCCAAATAGCAGGATTCCCTTACAATAAGGACCCCAATAAGGAGGCCCGAATTTCGGAAACTCGTCCTATATTGTAGACCTCAACCCGCTACTATTGAATGGGTGGGGGATGCTTGGGTGCGGTGGGGGGGAGGGGGGGGGGTATGCTTTACCAACTGTTCTAGGCAGCTCGAACCTTCCGGAGTCGAAAAAAGGAACATGCGGAATACACCGGAGACTGGATAGTCTTCATCGTGAAATGAAGCATCTTCGCTAGCAAACGGGTGCTTCAAAGCACTAGACTGCGCAATTTTGGGCTTTAAAGCTTGACTAAGCTTCAGTGTGTACAAGGCTTAGGTTAGGTGAATGTGGCTGGCAGGGGGCCGGGAGGGCGGGGGGGGGGGGGGGGGGGGTGGGGAAATTGAGGCTTGCCTAACTCTAAACCTTATAAAGCCCCTAACCCCTAATCCCTAAAGCCAAAAGCCTAGACCCTATACCCTAAACTGCAAAGTACATGCGAAAGAGACCCAAGAATCCCACGAAGGCATCGAATCACAACAGGAATTGAGAGAACAGACCAGTATCTCCCGAAAGTGTAGGGTTTAGTATTAGGGTTTAGGATTAGGGTTTAGGGTTTAGGGTTTTGGGCTAGCAGTGGTAGCGACCGCAGGCTTCATGGCGCACGAGCCAGTAGCAACCGCCAAGAACCCCAATGAAAAACGCCCCTAAACCGTTAACCCTATAAACCCTAAACCCTACACCCTAAACCCTAACCTCTAAACGCTAAACCCTAAACAGCAAACAGACCCTTCAAGCACTCAGAAGGGTTTAGAGGTTTAGGGCAGTCTAGGTTTCATCTTAAGGGGCATAAGGAGGGACCCCTAGAAGGGACCGTTAAACTTCTTCCTATATATACCGTGTGCCTAAATAACCCCTGAATAACCCCTACAGTCCCTTATAGGGGTCCCTCCTTTAGTCCCTTGCTCATCCCAAGCCCACATCAAGTATATCCAAAACCCTATCCCCGACAACTCGGAAAGTGAATGTGCGGCCCTGAACAACGTACACCGTGCTTGGAGGTTCATGGTACTCATTACCTATAATTCTATCTGTACTTACAACCCACTTATATGCCCTTAAGTGACCGAACATGGTTATAAGTACAGCTTTCAATGGTTAATAAGTACCACGAACGTCCAAGTAGAAGATATAGGCGTCAACCCTACTGTACCCCTGTTGTCAATAAAGGTTCTGCTGTGCAAAACCCCATACCCAAAACCCCAATTCCAGGGCATGGAGCGCCTCTTGCTCAGCCAGAGACAGCGGTGGGGGCGTTGGATGACGGGGACGGCCTCGCAGCAGGTTGATGGCTTGAGCTTAGGGCTTAGGGATTGGGGTTTAATTTGGGGTTTAGGGGTCTAGGGGTTTAGGGGTTTAGGGATTTAGGGGTTTAGGGGTTAGGGGTTTAGGGGTTTAGGGGTTTAGGGGTTTAGGGGTTTAGGGGTTTAGGGGTTTAGGGGTTTAGGGGTTTAGGGGTTTAGGGGTTTAGGGGTTTAGGGGTTTAGGAATGGGTTGAGGGGTTTAGGGGTTTAGGGTTTAGGGATATCTTGGGTTCAATTCGTTATTCCCGTCATCACCATCAGCGTCATCATCACCAGCAGCGCAGTGGCAGTGGCAGTGGCAGTGGCAGTGGCAGTGGCAGTGGCAGTGAGCAGCAGCAGCAGCAGCAGCAGCAGCAGCAGCAGCAGCAGCAGCAGCAGCAGCAGCTGCAGCTGCAGCTGCAGCTGCAGCTGCAGCTGCAGCTGCAGCTGCAGCTGCAGCAGCTGCGGCAGCAAGCAGCAGTACCATCGCCACAACCTTCACCGCCACCATCACTTTTCGTCGTCATTCTCATCACAAATACAACCCACGAACCACATGAAGAAGTGCCTCCTCCCGAGCATCCGCTAGAGGTTAGGGCTTAGGGTTTAGGGGGGTTCAGGGTTTAGATAGTTTAGTGGTTAGGGTTTAGGGTTTCGGGTTTAGGGTCCCTGCTACGTTCCAAGTAGGTATCTGTTTCTACGCATTCATGTGCGACCCCGGAGTATACGCCCAACAACAATGCGATGCTGAAGAGAACCGGACGCCCCAAAATGGGTACCTGGGTTGGCCTCTATAGATCCTCTGATAAATATTTATATATAGGGCCCCTTATAAACCCAAATAAGGAAAATAGAATTTGTCCCAAAAACCAGCCTAGGTAACCCCATGTTCGGATACGCAGATTGAAGTGGGCTTTGGGGCTCAAGGTCTGGAGGGTGTAGCCTGCATCCCCCCATGTCTCGCGCGCGACTCACAACCCTGAACAACCCAAACGCTAAATCCCAAACCCTAAACCCTAAACCCTAATCCTACGTAAACCCTTTACCCTAAACCCTGACAGGCCTGTGGCATGTTTGACATCGAGCTCTAAATCCTCAACTCTCAACCCTCACAAGCCCCAAACCCGCTTTGGAATCCTAAACCCAAAACCCTAAACCCTAAACCCTAAACCCTAAATCCTAAACCCTAAACCCTAAACCCTAAACCCTAAACCCTAAATCCTCAGGTCCGGTCAGTGCTTAGGCAAGGGGCTCCGGGTCGATTCCTCGCCATCGTAGCCATCCCCGTCATCACCATCCTCCTGCCTGAGGGTTTAGGGTTTAGGGTTTAGGGTTTAGGGTTGAGGGTTTAGGGTTTGGGGTTTAGGGTTGGGGGTCAAATGTGAGTCATGCTCGCATGAGGACTTACCCCTAAGAGGTTCCCTTCAAACACTCCTAGTGTAACCCTAAACCCTAAACCCTAATTAAACCCTAAACCCTAAAGCCTAAACCCTAAACCCTAAACCCTTCTTGTTGCCTTGGAGGATCTTCGAAAGGAGTCTCCCAACCCAAGGGCCCAAGGTAAATCCCATCAGCAAAACCTTCAGCCCCATTCCACCCTGTTTATGGTGCAGGGTTTGTGGGTTAGGGCTTCGGGCATAGGATGGTCTTGGGGTTGGGGCGGGTGGGTGGGGGGGGGGGGGGGGGTTGGGGTTAGAGTGCTGATGGGGTGCTGCAGGGTTCAGGCGTGCAGGTGGAGGCTTTGGGGGTTTACTCAAGCCTCCACTTGTAGTATACATAAACATTGCTACACATGAAGTTAGGTACCCAAATAAGTCTTGTCTACATACCCAAAGGGTCCATGTGCCTACATGGTATATACTTGGGCCTCAAAGGGGTTCCCATATAGTAGCTTTAGGGCCCAAGTATACAGCATATGGGTACATGGACTCTTAGGGCGAGATAGACTCATGGGCTTTGTCGTGGGGTGTAGGACTCGGTTCAGGGCTACGTAGCCCTCGAAGAACCAAAGAATCAAACCCTCAACTCAACTCTGAACGATTGAACAACAGACACCCGACATCCTCACACCAACATATATATATATATATGATTATATATGCATATAAATAAATACAAATATAAATATAAATATAAATATAAATATAAATATAAATATAAATATAAATATATATATATATAGAGATTTTAATATACTAGACACACGTGCGTGCTTCGCACGCACTTAGTGTCTGCACCAGCCCACGATGCGGAGGTGCGTGGGAGTGGTCTAGAGGGGACGCCCGCACAGAGGGGACCGCGGGTGCTTTTTAGGGTTTGGGGCTGAGAGGACTTCGGCTTGAGGGTGCAGAAGTGGCACTTCACGTCTGGCGGCCACAGGGTGAAGGGGGTCGGATGTGAGCTATGGGGTAGGGGGGCGGTTTTTGCGGCGAGGCAGCCCAGTTTAGGGTTGCGGCTCTAGGGTTTGGTTTAAGGTTGTGTGGTCAGGGTGTGGACCCTGCACCCTAAACCCGTTAACCCCCCTTTAAACCCCCTAAACCCTCCAAGCTGCCTCGCCGCAAACCGGCCCCGCTAGGTGGGGGAGGGGGGGTTGGGGGGTGGGGGCGGGGTGGGGGGGCGAGGGGCTGAGCGCAAAACGCGCGTTTTTGGGCCCCGGCCCTGTGGGGAGGTGGCCCACAGGGGGGGGGGGGAGGCGGAAAACCACCCCGCGAGGGGGGGTCTATTTGTATGTATATAAATAAATATATATATATATATATATATTAGTATATGTGCATGCATATATGTGCATGACTAAATATCCTTTCTACTAGATAAACGATATTCGAGTGTATTATGTATATACATATAGATTTCTGTTTATACACAGGTGTAAGCTGTTCGTATGTTCCACGACACATATGCAGGCCTGTCGCCGTTGTAGCTCTGGCCGTACTGCCTCGCAGGCCTGTCTCCGTCGTAGCTCTGGCCGTACTGCCTCGCAGGCCTGTCTCCGTAGGCAGTCCTGTCTCCGTCGTAGCTCTGGCCATACCTTGTTCATGGTTGGGATAGCATTGCAAATTTAAAATTCTACCCTAAACATGCAAAATCAACATGTCTACGCCTGATCAAGTTTAAGCACCCTGAAAAAATGCAAAAATGTTTCCGCGCCAGGACGAAGATACTGCCGATTGTCGTCGTAGCTTCCGTAGCTTCGGCCCCAGGAGCTCGAAGCCTGAGGGAAGCGGGATAGGGGCCCCCTCATTTTAACTGGGGGTTTAGGGGTTCTTGACCAAAGAAACCCTTAAAACACCATGAACACTACAAACCCTACAAACCCCAAAAACCCCTAAAAACCCAAAAAACCCTCTAAACCCAAAGCCTAAAAGGGGGTTTCCGAAATTCGGGGGGTACTGTACCTTCTTGGGGTCCTTACAAAAGGGGAATCCTACAATTTGGGGGACTCTATTGGGTGTCCCTTATTTGCGTAGACCCCCAAATGCTTTCCGCCCCAACCTGACAACAAAACGCTTGGCAGAGTATGGCCAGAGTCCGTGGAGGTTCTTGGGTAGGTATATGTAGGGTTAGAAGTACCCTAAATAAGGGCTTTAAGTATTACTTAAGAACTCTACTTCTAGCTACCCATGAACCAAGAAGGCTTGGGGTTTCGGCTTGAGGTTGCAGGGTCTACTTGATTGCTATCCACTGCTCTTCATAGGCGACGGGGTTCTCGAGTTTGGAGGCGGGGAGGCGCGTTACACAAGCCAGACACATGGGAGCCCAAGACCCTCGGAATCACGGAATAGAGCCTCAACTACGTCATGGAGGAGTTCTCATCTGTGATCTACAGTATAAACCCTAAACCCTAAACCCTAAATCCTAAACCCTGATTTGGGGCGGGACTACTTAAGAAACAGAAACATCTGAGCACCATCTGAGCATGGTCCGGAACCCGAAGCGCTCTGCGCGGCAAGCTTGCGATAGGGAAAGCCTACCAACATCCCCCCTCACATTATAAACCCTAAGCCCGTAATTAACCTAAAATAAGGGCCTACTCTGGTCCTAGTAGCCCTAAACCTGAAACCCTACACCCGAACCCCTCAAAAAGCGGGCACAAGGGCCTACTCCGGGGTCCTAGGATTTCTGTAGAACACAGAGGGCCATGAACTCAGAACCGATTAAGGGGCCCTGAACATTTAGGGTTTAGGGTTTAGGGTTTAGGGTTTAGGGTTTAGGGATAAACCTACACTCAAAGCATCGCCCTACAACTCCCTAGACCGGGCCGCCTCTGGCTCCTGTGACTCGCCGTCACCGTAGGAAAATCCCCAAGAGCCGCCTCGAACAAGCAGAGCTGGACTTAGGGCCCGGGTTCAGAGTAGGGTTTAGGGTTTAGGGTTTAGGGTTTAGGGTTTAGGGTTTCCAATATATACCCTTTAAGGGATTCTATTGGGTTCTTAGTAGGGACTTGGGCCCGATATATACCCTTTCAGGGATTCTACAAGGTACCTCATTCCCTACGAAGAACCAGCCAGTAGGGGTTCAGGGGGCCATGGACCTCCTAGTAACATAAAGGTTACGGTACGTAGTGTCTGTTAGAGCACTCGAAAGCTAAAAAGTGATAACACTTTCCACGGCGAGCCCGCAACGTTCATCCAACATGCAGGCAAACTTGGAAACCCAAAGGGTCCATGTACCTATATGGTATATACTTGGGCCTCAAAGGGATTCCCATATAGTGGCTCTAGGGCCCAAGTATATACTATCTGGGTACATGGACCCCTAGGGAAATAGAAACTACAGTATGGTCACAGCGTCAGGGCCCGCTGGGTGCCCGGCGCACTCAATCTAGCCCTAAAGCCTAAACCCTCAACCCTAAACCCTAAACCCCAAACCCTAAACCCTAAACCCCAAACCCTAAACCCTCTTACCCTGCGCGTTGGACCCTCAGTGTTGACGCACTGTTTGGGGAACATTTTTGACCCGTTGTTTATGACGAAGACCACAGGGTAAAATTGACAAACAAGGCTTATGGGAATAGACTTCGCAGAATTGTGTACAAAGCCATATGCCTGTGTAGCTCTAACTCTGCATGTATATATATATATATATAAATAAATATAGGAATCTACATACATATATATATATATGTATTATATGATATTATATTTTTGTTATATAAATTCTATTTATATTATATTATATTATATTATCTTATCTTATCTTATATATATATGTATATTAAGAGCCCGGTGCAACTCGCAGAGGTACACTAAGACTCGGAGCCTTGTGGCTGCCGGGAGTTCCCGCTTGGGGCTCAGGACTTGCTGTGGCCCCTCTCTTGAGTCACACGGACACACCAGCCACCAGCCTCCCTAAACCCTAAACCCTAAACCCTACAAACAAATCAGCCCAGGCATGCACATGAGCAAAGCCGCCTCGGCCTTCCCATTCTTCTGCAAGGTGGTCCTCGGCTGGGGCTTTAAACGGCTGAAGCCCTAAACCCTAACCCTAAACCCTAAACCCTAAACCCTAAACCCTAAACCCTAAACCCTAAACCCTAAACCCTAAACCCTAAACCCTAAACCCTAAACCCTAAACCCTAAACCCTACAAGTAGGGCGCCCCCTTACTATACTAACCTTAGTTAAGGGAGTTATAACCTACATAGTAATACTTATAATACAATTTAGGGCCCTTATAACCCTCTGTATGACTAGGAGGCTTTGAATTTGAAAGGGGCTTATGGTACCCAAAGTCGCTAAGGGCTACCTACTGAGAGCCCAAGGAGCTTAGAGCAGAATCTGCCTCAAGACCTCCAACCCAACGAACCCTACTGCAAAACCGATAAACTTTCGCCAAAGCCGAACCTCAAAGCCCCTATGACGAACTAATCAACAGCACCCCAGATCCCTAAACCCACTCGAGGGCAACGTAGTGTCCGACTGTCTGGAGCGTGATGGCCTGGCACCTGGCTTTCGTAGGGTTTAGGGTTTAGGGTTTAGGGTTTAGGGTTTAGGGCTAAGGGTTTAGCGGAGAAGGGTTTAGGGATTTCCTGTCTCACCCTTCCTGTTCTACACAGAATCTTACATTCACCAGACACCTATCAATACCCCACAATTCGGGCTTAGCGGGTTTTGGGCTTGGGGACCCCTGCACATCTAAAGGAGTCCCTCATCGTGGGGTGGATCGTAGATCATGCACCTATTCAGAAAGGCAGGTTGGAGCGTTAGAGTTTACAGTGCGCTCATGAACATGGGCATTGGTGGCACAGCATTCTCTTCAAGCGTTTGGAATCACGGCCCTTTGAAACCTCTCTCAAAGCAAGGTATTGCAAAGTGCGTTGCTTGGTGATTAACCTTAACCCCAGAAACCCTAAACCCAGCCACCTGCATGAGAGGCAGCAGCCAACAGCGCGGCCACCATCAGTACCTTGGCCCGCGTCACATCCAAACCCTAAACTAAACCCTAAACCCAAAGCCTAGACCCTACACGACTGCTTGCTTAAGAACCACCCAAAAACAAAACCAACTTGATAAAGGCAGTCCCGGGAATATCATTCTGTTTACTGCTTTTGTTTCTTTTTGCAAGGGGGGTCTCTCTTTGGGGGGGGGGGGGGGGTTCTTTAGCAAATAGTAGCAGACCATAAACTGCAAACCCAAAACCCGAAACGCCAACCCAAGCCAGGCCTTGGGGCAGAACCGTGAGTCCCAAGTATTCAAAACCCTAAACCCTAAACCCTAAACCCTAAACCCTAAACCCTAAACCTAAACCCTAAACCCTAACCCTAACCCTAACCCTAAAATTGGGATCTTAAAAAATCCCAAAGCCTAATGACCTGAATCCCTAAACCTCGAACCCTGCGACCCGTCCGAACCCCAGTGCAAGTAAGGCTTCGGGGTATAGGGTGGAAGCTTGCTGAGCAACCGTGCGTCCGCCGAAGTAAGCGCATCTTTGCCCAAAGTCATGTCATACGAATTTGTACCCTAAACCCCAAAGCCTAAACCCCAAACAACCCTAACCCTAAACCCTAAACAACCCTAAACCCTAAACCCTAAACCCTAAGTGGAGCTTCAAGGAGATGGGAATCTGATGACCTTTCCGAATGCTCGACCCCTTGAAAACCTCAACCCTGTATACCCCTGAATCGACGAACCTTCGCTTGTCTGATATGAACGGAACGGCTCCAGTAATTGCAGAGAGGTGGCAAGAAGCAGAAGCCCTGCGACTCCTAGAAAAAAAAACTGCCCAGTGACAACTGCTTGTTCCTCAACATGCACTTGGCTGCCCAGTAGCGTAGCAAAAGCAGGAACAAGGCAAGCAGGCACCGCTGAATAAGAGTATTATTCAGGGCTTGCACCTCTCTCTTAAACACGAAACCCTAGGGTTGTAGTAGGTACACATCTCAAGAAACCTTGAACCTCCAAATAGCCCAAGGATTAAACCCTAAATCCTAAACCCTAAAGATTAAGGCTTCAGGATCTAGGGCTTGGGGCTTCGGGATCCTTCATTTCTTGTCCGGCTAGAGCAGGGCGGCTCCCTCATGGGTTGTTAGCTTTTTTTATGGTGACGATGCTGAAGCACATTTTGATTCTTGTTGCAAGGGGCTTTATGGCGACGACGTTGGCAATTTTCGAGCCTCCTGTATTGCAAGCCCCTTAAAGCGAGCGAGTTGGAACGGGACCCCGTCCCCTGAACCCTAAACCCTAATCCCTACCTATACCCTACCCCCCCCTTGCCCCCCCCCCCCCCCGCCCCCCCCCCCGCCCACCCCCCCTCCCCCCCTGGCTTCCCCGCCCTAAACCCTAAACCCTAAACCCTAAATACCCTAAATACCCTAAATACCCTAAATACCCTGAACCCCAAACCCTAAACCCTAAACCCTACACCCTAAACCCTCAACCCTAAACTTCTAACCCAACCTGAGACGTAACACTGCAACACGGCCTCCGGCCACCTTCCGTTGGCGCCAGCTGGGAAGGCTATCAACCTCCCTGCCCTCCTGGATAGGGTTTAGGGTTTAGGGTTTAGGGTTTAGGGTTTAGGGTTTAGGGTTTAGGGTTTGGGGTTTGGGGTTTGGGGTTTGGGGTTTGGGGTTTGGGGTTTGGGGTTTGGGGTTTGGGGGTTTGGGGTTTGGGGTTTGGGGTTTGGGGTTTAGGGTTTTCGGGGTCTTAGGACTTTAAGGTTTATGGGTTTAGGGGGTCTAGGGGTTTAGGGTGTAAGGATCCATGGATTTCGGGGTTTGGGGGTTTAGGGTCTAGGGGTTTGCAAGGTGTCTGGGGTTTGTAGGGTTCAAGGGGCTTTGGGGCCTTGGGTCTGCAGAGACTCAGGGAAGTAACCTGGCAGATGCCCCGAATACAGGAGGAACCAGGGTTTAGGGTTTAGGCGTTAGGGTTTAGGGTTTAGGGGTTAGGCTTTAGGGTGCCTTTTTTGTGGGGACCCAAGGGTGTCTACGCCTAAACCTTGTAAACCCACAAACCCCATAAATTCTTTAAAAAAAACCTGTGAACCCCACGAGCCCGATGACTTGGAATGTTCCCCCTTATACTAACAGTCCTTAAGAGGGATTGTCGTACTCCTTATTGGAATCCCTATTAAGGACTGTTCTGTTAGTTTTAGGGAGAACAAACCGTTCCCAACCCATAAGCCCTACAAACCCTGAATCCACTTTGAATCTTCGGCCACTGCGTTGTTGCAGCAGCTTAGGTTTGGGATTCAGGGTTAGGGCATAGAGGCTCCCGCACCCTAAACCCTAAACCCTAAACCTCTGCGTGTGTTAGGGGATTGGGGGACTAGGGAACCCCCCGCCAAAATAACATAGAAAACAAGTAAAAACATATTTATATATATGCTACTTTCATTGTACATATATATATATTTGTATAGTATGTATACACACACATATATTTATAATTCGAATTCGAGAACAAGAAAACACGAAGCAGCCTGGGGATCAAAAGCCTGGGTTTAGGGTTTAGGGTTTAGGGTTTAGGCCCTAAACCCTAACCTCCTAGAAACCCTAAACCCTAAACCCTGCTACCCCCTCAAGCTCCCAAGCCACTGCCTCCAGCAATGGGAGCATGTCGTCGGTGTTTGAGAGCATTTCGACCCCGCGGACTACCTTCCGAGGTCCATTGAGCTTTTGGGGGTTTAGGGTTTAGGGTTTAGGGTTTAGGGTTTGGGGTTTAGGGTTTAGGGTTTAGGGTTTAGGGTTTAGGGTTTAGGGTTAGGGTTGGGATGTACCTTCCGATGTCAACTAGGGTCTGGTGGTTTAGAGGGTTTATATGGTTTTTGGGGTTTATGGGGTTCATAGGGTTTGTAGGGTTTGTAGGGGCTTCTAGGGTTTAGGCTTTAGGGTTTAGAGGGTTTGCAGGGTTTATACGGTTTGTGGGAGTTGTAGGGTTTATATGCAGGATGTACAGGGTTTGGGGTGTTTAGGGTGTTTCGGGGGCTGTTATGTAGGGGTTCGAAGATTGGGGGTTTAGGGGTTCAGGGTTGTAGGGTCGAGGGGCTTGGGGTTTAGGGGCTTAGGTTATAGGTTTTAGGGGCTTCGGG